AATTAAAGGAGGAATGGAAGTGTCTGTTTTATCAGAAGAGGCAATTGACCTTCTATATTACCATAATAGAAAGTGAAGAAAAAAAGTCCTGTTATGTTCTTGTGTTACAAATTTCCCTCCCCTCCCCCCTTCCCCTTTTTTAATGTTAAGACTACAACCTTGATATAATGGACTTTGAAACAGATAGTGACACGTTCCGTTCAGTGTAGAAATACCTAGAGATTGGTCTAAAGTAGCCCTCAGCTTGGGCGGTTACACATTAATAAGAAATTAGGCTAGCTGGAATAGGGGAACTCTATTTACTGCTTTTGCCATATGAAGGAAAAGAAAAAAAAATATTCCAAATGCATTAGGAGTTTCGCAAACATCCTTGACTTCCCTCACTACTATACCAGAACTTTATTTGCATGTACCGTATCTGGAGTTTCTAAAGGGCAACAACTACCAGTTGCTTGGGGGTAAGAGGCCCCATTCACATCCTAAACCTGCAATTCTGGAAGGACCTCTAATATGTTTTTTAGAAAAACACTGTAGGTCATCTCATTCTTTAATCAGCTTTGGGAACTTGTAATCTGGTAAATGATGCTTCCTAGCCCATACTTACTATTAGATCTATACTGATGACTAAGCGTAAATTGTTCTTTCTTATCATTCTCATCCTTGTGCCACTGAGGCAGCTCCAGCAGCAGCCATTAGGCTTCATGCTGTGTCAGAAACTGCTCTTGCTCCACATGAGAGAAAAAGAAAAATTAAAAGTTCCAGTCCATTGGAGCTTCTGCATGCTGAACAGCAGGGTTTCGGTCCTCTCAAGAGTGCTAGTGAACAAAGACTGGAAGACAGAGCGTAGTTTTCGTCTGCATTTGAATGATGTTTCTGTGATTCAAAAAATTGTTCCATTTCCTAATGATCATAGAATCATAGAATGGTTAGGGTTGGAAGGGACCTCAAAGATCATCTAGTTCCAAACCCCCTACCATGGGCAGGGAAATCTTCCACTACACCAGGTTGCCCAGAGCCTCATCCAACCTGGCCTTGAACACTGCCAGGGATGGGACATCCACAACTTCTCTGGGCAACCTGTTCCAGTACCTCACCACCCTCAATGTAAAGAATTTCTTTCTTATATCTAACCTAAATCTGCCCTCTTTCAGTTTAAATCTGTTGCCCCTTGTCCTATCACTACACACCCTTGTAAAAAGTCCCTCTCCAGCTTTCCTGTAGGCCCCCTTTAGGTACTGGAATGCTGCTATAAGATCACCTCGGAGCCTTCTCTTCTTCAGGCTGAAAGGCTGGCATGAAGAGGCATGTTCTGTTGCATGAAAAAAAAAGTGATTTTGAAAAGACTTTCACATGTGGAATACAGACTCTTTAGAACATTTTGAAGTGCATATGTCACCATGAGCTGCGGCCTATAACCAGATTTTTGTCAGAAGGATACAATAAGATTGCCCTACAGTCTTATTGCTAGGAGCATCACCATTGTGGAAGCCACAATTCATGGTGAAGAAATTGGCTGCTCTTCATTTGTGCATGGTGGTAATGAAAATGCTGCATCAACGTTTATTATACAACATTTTTAATTTCTTAGTAATTCAGGAAAATAAACATCAGCAGGTGCAGAGGAAAAAAATAGGAGCCTATAACTCTTAAGCAGAAGGAAGCAAGGATTCATGATTTACTGAACATTAGGACACCTGTGCTTGGCGTCAGCTTTGAAAGGGGATCAAAACACAGGGCAACAATCATTTGATACTACCTACCCTGTTATTCCGTGGAATAGGAGCAAGAGTAGATGTCCAGTTTCAGTAAACAGTCTGTATGAAGTTCAATTGATCTAATGCAGGTATGGGATTTTGACGGAGAATCTGAACCCATCATATTCTTCTGTCAATGGTTCATTTTTTTTCCTAGTAAACTCTTAAAGAAATTCTGCGTAGAATCTCTCTGTAGGCCTGTGCTAATTCATAAACACATTTATTTCCTGGAAGGAACATACCAACATTTTGGTAAAATATTTCAGTATTTTTATTGACACTTACTGATCCTAAAAATGAAGGGAAGGTGGATGGAATGGCAATACCCAAACAACTTCTGCTTGAATAAATAATAGAATATCAAGGCCTGGGGAAGCCTTCCTGCTATGCCTGCGTAACTGCACCAAGTTCCTGTGTTGAGCACACACTCTCTGTTTTGGGTTATATTGTGCAGTGGCTGAAAAATTAGATTTTAGTCTACAGTGGCTGAGAAATTGAAATCCACTTACTGGATTACAATTCAAATACTTGGATAATTCTAGGATATTATTCTTGCACATCCCAAAGCAAAGTGCAACTAAATAAAAGAACCAGAATGAGGCAAATGATATGCAAGTTGCTTCAACACTCAGGTCTGCTCTTCCTGTCTTCTGGTTTATGCCTGTCTTTGATTTGACCTACATTGAATGACGGATCATAATGTGGTGTGTGGGTTTTTTTTTTTCTTAGAGAACCCAGAGGCTGATACTACCAATTTATCTTTTCTTGGTCACAAATCTCTCACATAGTGGATAGGGATAATCTCTGTTGTACAGAAAAATATCTTACATGAAGCAATGACGGGCTTGAGAGATCAGAATCAAATCGCTAAACACTTTCCAGTTTTTAAGTCAAGAAACAACCATGAAAATAAAAGAAGGGGAAAAAAAAAAAAAAAAGAATGTTCTGTTTCTATTTCCAGGAATTTCAGAGTCTGTTTCTGCCTGAAAGAATTTGAGAGAAATAAAAAGAGTACTAGGAATCTTTCAAAGACTGATGGGGATTACTATATTCCTTAGTTGTACGAGCCCAGAGGATTGACAGCAAGCTGTCATTAAATGGAATAGTTTGAAACAAACAAACCACTTACACACGGGTATCAATGGACTAGAGAGTTGCCAAATAGTAGTTCCATGCCTCTGGGAGGACTTGAAATCTCTGTTACCATGGAGTCACTACTACTAGTTTAGAAATTTTTTTTGTCAGTATCAGCAGTTCTGATACAGTGTTCACTTGTGTTACTGAGGACTTTAATGCTCTCCCATTATAGGAAATAACCATCAGACAAAATGGACGTTTAAATTAGTTTCCAATTACTGTGTCTAATCATGACACAATGCACAGTGCCACAGTCTCACACTTCACGGTTCTGTCATGCTCGTTATCGCAGCCAGATCATGTAAAATACGTATTTACTTTCGTTTTACAGGCTGAAACGCATTCGCTGGGAGACGTCACAAAACTGTATTTCTACCTACACTTCAAAGCAGAAAAAAAAAAAAAGGTATATTAAATTACTAGAACTGATATACGGTATCAGAATAACTGTAGTCTTTGCTTTGATTGCAGCCCTTTAGCATTTTCTGTTAGAGACCTAATCATAAAAGTGTACGACATTTCTGGAATGTCACATGGAGGTTCAAGTCAGCATATTTGTATTTTTCACAGTCCTAGGGAGCAGGAACTTTATGATACTGTCATTTCACTCTCCCTATTGCACTTACTTTTAGCCCTGAATAGATCTGATCACTCATCTTCAGGAGCAGATGACAGCCTGGAATCTAGTCTACGAAACACGATATTATTACAGGCAGATATTCAAAAGAAAGCAACACGTCATTGCAAACGAACGAAAAAAGTGAGAATTCATCTGTTGTTTGGAATATGGAGCTGCCGCGGACCCGGGGAAGGAACCCTCTTGAAAAGGTGTGAATGTTTATCTTACTTCTTGAAGTAACAAAGCGCTGAATGACCAGATGCTGTTATCAAAGCAACACACTCAGAGCATCAACATTCATTCATTAGAGTAGAGAAATCAGTATTGCATAATAAAGCGTCCTGATTACCCAACATACCCTAAACGAACCGAATTTTCAGTTTTAACTCCCCATCCAGTTCAAATTTCATTACACCCCAGATTCTATTGCCTAAGCAACTTTAACAAATCTCCATGCACAAACAAGTTATTTTATACGTTTTAAGACTGAAAACCGTCACATTGCAATCACAAATACCCAGACTCCTGATTTTAACAAACGACGGCGACTTCGTTAAGGTTATATTAAAAGCGCAATGACAGGAGGAACATCAGCCTTCAGAGGGACACGCCGGTGCTTTGTTCCACTGAAATACCTGAGTAGATGTGAAGTAACGTCGGCTTTCACACACGCTGCTAAAGCACAAACGTCTCCCTAAAAGTTATTAGCGAAGGCACCGCGGTCGCCGAAGAGTCATCGAGTGGGTTTATGTGATTTGGAAGGGAAGCGGCCCGACGGCGGGAGCCAGCTCTGCATCCGCGCCCGGGGCCACGGGACGAAGCTGTGTTACTTCCTCGGTTTTAATATCAATTTACACCGAGACCAACCTTTCAAACCACTCTGTTTTTTGCCCTAACCTGGAGAGGATCTTCTAAAGCACAAGATTTCACGCCGGCTGTGCCCATTTAGTCCATGGTACAATTTAAATTTAAAAGATAAACCGAAAATTTCTCTCTGCCGAGGTCTCTGGGGCTCCGTGCCGCGGAGTTTCCGGGGTCGCTTTTCGCTCGTTTCGGCTCCTTCCAACGAGAAACTCCGTTAGCTGGCAGGACAAACGTCCCTCTCCCCGCTCGGAAAGAAAAGGGATGCATCGGCCATAAATTTCGGGACGAAAAAGCCCTTTTTGAACCAGGAAGAAACACAGCGGCGGCGGGCGGCGGGGCGGGACGGACCGCACCAATCAGCGCGCGCGGCGCCGCTATAAAAGGGAGCGGCGGAGGCGGCGCTG